TTACCTTCTCACTGAAGTGGTACCTATTTATCTACTTGCAATTTCTTGCTTTCGAACTGCTAGGCTGGCAGGAGCTGGAACTAGAGATGGGAGCTCACTCTGTCATGCGGCACACTCGGGTCTCGAACTGCTGAAATACCAGCCTTCCACAGCCTGCAGTTAACCACTTGAGCCACCACAGCTCCAGGTTAGGTTACGTGGAGACATGTAGTGACTTGATGTGGGCTCTTCTGGTCTAGATCCAGTCCTCGCTGATTTACAACTGAACTGCTTTGTTTAAAGCATTGGGCTGGAGGAAGTACAGACCTGGGACCCACATTTACACCATCTGGTTATCTCTGCCTGTAGTCCCTCCCAACACAGGACACCCTGGTAAATTGTAGAAAATACAAGCGGGACAAGCTGAGGAATTGGGAGGAGGAGGAAATCTTGTCCTTGCTGCCAGTTCTGGCTTCTCCTTTCCTGCTCAAACCCCCCCCCCCCCATCCCCCCCCCCAATCTCTGCTTTATTTTTTCCTGCTTGTTTTGCCTCTGCCTTTCTGGCCACTCGCTGGTTGACCCACTCCCACCACTGCCGCATGCAGGGGGGGGAGATATAAGGAGGAAAGTGGGGGTAGGGCAGCCAGCGCGGGCATAGCGAGGGATGAGCGGTGAGTGGCAGAGGCAATTTCCCTGGCTTTTTTTTGTCCGCTGGCTATTTTTGTGACCAAGCGCCGGTATATGTTATATTGCAATGTCTGGATTGATGGGGTTCCCCCCCCCCATCACAGTTTTGTAAGAAATAGGATGGGGAAGTGTTCCTTGCAGCAGACGGGGCTGTGTATTTGTCCTACAGTTTGGTGTAGTGGTTAAGTGCGCGGACTCTAATCTGGGAGAACCGGGTTTGATTCCCCACTCCTCCACTTGCACCTGGCTGGATGACCTTGGGCAAGCCATGGTTCTGTCAGAGCTGTCCTTGAAAGGCCAGTCCTAGAGAGAGCTCTCTCAGCCCCACCTACCGCATAGGGTGTCTGTTGTGGGGAGGGGAAGGGAAAGGAGTTTGTAAGCTGCTCTGAGACTCTGAGTGAAGGGCGGGGTATAAATCCAATCATCTCCTCCTCCTCCTCTTCTTCATGGGCCCTATTTGGCTTTTTGATACATGACGTAAATGTGCTAAATTGGCACAGTTCCTACAACCTGCTGCTTTGGGTTGATGCAGATTCGATGTCTAGGTCCCCCCCCCCCCCCCAAGACCAAAAAACTCGCAGATATTTTTCCCGGCTTCCAGCATGGGAGGAGGCACCCCCCCCCTTTCCCCTGCATGAAGAGGCCTCTTCTGGATGTCATGCCATTCTCTGGTTCCTGTTTGTGGCGCAGGCAGCTGGCCCACGCATTCGAGGATTCGGGCCGAGCTCACGGATGCGTGGTTAATTGGGGAAATGTGGGGAAGTGTGTCAGGCCAAGCGAGGGGGGCGGGTGGGGAACACACTTGACTGAGTACGGAGTAATGTGGCTGGGAGGCTTTGAATGCCATGAAGGGATGGGGAGAAATATAGGAAATATGGCGGTGATAGGAAGTGCAAAAATAAACTTAAATAAACTGTGGTTATTTCAATATAAATGTGATCATTTCTTAACAAAACTATTCATCTAATACAAAACCTATTCCAAATAATGGCAATAAAGAAGTAAAGTAACGGTCATCCAAATCATGAGTTTATAAAAAGTAAACCAAATACTCGCAAGTAGACAGGAAGTAAAGAAGAAGAAGAAGAAGAAGAGATTGGATTCATACCCTGCCCTTCACTTGGAGTCTCAGAGCGGCTCACAAACTCCTTTCCCTTCCCCTCCCCACAAGAAACACCCTGTGAGGTGGGTGGGGCTGAGAGAACTCTGACACAAACTGCTGTTTTTCAAGGACAACTGTGCCAGAGCTTGTGACTGACCCAAGGTCACATCAGCAGGTGCAAGTGGAGGAGTGGGGAATCAAACCCGGTTCTCCCAGATTAGAGTCCACACACTTAACCACTACACCAAACTGGCTCTTTGAACAATTGAAGTGTTCTGATTCTGCAAGACCAACTTTAGAAATCCTTTGAACCATTGCTCTCTGTAAGAAATTGGATTGGTGCCTTAATATTGTGCATTGCTAGAACCAGGTGTTGGCCTGAAGCAGTAGAACAATTTTAGAGTCCAGTGACATCTTTAGGACCAAGAAAGGTTTATTCAAGGTATGAGCTTTTGTGTGCATGCACACTTTTTCAAATACATTGGAATGGAAGGTATGGTTCAAATTTATAAGCCCCTGTCTGTAAGTTTGAATCTTACCTTCCATTCCAATGTATTTGAAAAAGCGTGCTTGCACACGAAAGTTCATACCTTAAATAAACCTTTGTTGGTTTTAAAGGTGCCACTGGACCCTACATTTGTTCACTGTGCGTTACTGTGTGTCTTTCTGTGGATGGAGCTGATAATCTACCTTGGGGTCATACCCTAACTGCTTTAAACTTCTTGAAAACGCTGAAGAAGAGATTTGTTTATTAGAAACGAGTGAAATTAAATCTGGAAAGCTCGTATTGGAATTCACACTTGCAGAATTAGAACATTTTGATTGTTTCCTTGCTTTCTACTTGTGAGTAATTGCTTAACTTTTTGAAAACTCATGAATTGGATGACTGTTACTTTACTTCTTTATTGTGATTATTTGGAATAGGTTTTGTATTAGATGAATAGTTTTGTTAAGAAATAACCACATTTATATTGAAATAATCACAGTTTATTTAAGAAAAAAATGTTGTTTTTGGTGCTTTCTTTCACAGTCATATTTCCTATCTTTCTTTGCATGCTTGCTTACTGTGAAGGGATGAGGGGGCAGCAGGGCATGTGCACTCCACAGGCCTGTACGCCTAGTGTTTGCAGTGTTGTTCCTGGATAACTCTTGTGGTGTGTTCCATGCAAATTCAAGAAGGCTTATGTGTATTCCAGGAGGGCATATGTTTAATGTCTCTTCCTGTCCTCTCTGTGCTTTTGGTGGGGGTGTAATTACTTGTCCCCCCCCCTTGCAAAACTTTTTACCTCCCCAGACCCGTCTCAACCCTGCTCCGGCTTTGGAACACCCTTCCGCCAGGGAAGAAATTCCTCTTTAAAAAGCTGGTCTGGTAGATCAAGGTCTGCAGTGTTTTAAGTGCTGGGTCCACCAGGCAGCTAAGTAATCTGCAGTAATCCCCCTCCCTTCGGCTCTGTGTTTGGTCACTACAGCCAGTTGAGATTTCTATGGGGCTTCCTGGTAGATTTTGAAAGGCAGAGCAGTGGAATCTAGTGTTTCTTTGACTCACAAAAATCCCTGCTTCAACTTGGGTTTTTCTTGAGCCAGATTTGTTAAATAGTGGGTTCCGTGGATGAGCAGGCTCGAGTCTAGTGATCGGCTCAACTTTATTTGTGGTTTCAGCAAGAGCAAGACGAGACTCCAGAGCCTCAGCTCTGGTAAATAGCATGCAGTTGCTACACCCAAACACACCCCACTGCTAGTGATAGGCTATTTACATTTTATTTATTTATTTGTGCTTTTGACTTGTATCCCGCTCGAACCCCGAGGGGTCTCTGAGCGGCTTACAGTTACTTTTATCCCTTTCTATGGCCACACATAGTCAGGGGTGGGGACTGCCCTACCGGCACCCAGTGGAGGGACTCGCTGTTCTTTTTCTGGTTCGGCTTTTTTTGTCGGCTCGGCTTTCGGTTTGGCTCCTCTTCTTCTCCTTCCGGTGGTCTTCGGAGTCGGCTGTATTCGGCGGACCCATCTGACGCGCGTTTCGCGTCAGTGCAGCTCCGGCTCTGTCCATTTGGCTCCGCCGCGTCTGCACCTCTACGTCCTTTGCGTCTTCTGGCTCCGCCTCCGCCGTCGTCCGATCCACCACTGGTGTTGCGCCTCCTTGCCGCCACTGCTCGCCACTTCACTCGTCGCCACCGCCACTCGTCATTTCGCCGTTGCTGCTAACCGCCGATGCTCCATCAGACCCCACAACGGAGGAGGGTGCCCCCTGCCACCTAGGGCAGGTACCCATTTATCTACTCGCTTTTTGATGTTATTGCTTTCGAACCGCTGATAACATTACTACTAGATTGGTTACTTTCAGAATCCTGCCAGGCTATTGTTCTTGTGCTTCAAGCTCAGCCTTTCTCTGGGGTGATTCAGTCAGGGATGATTCAGTCCCAATACATAACAAGATTGAACCTCAAAGACTTTCTTTTCACGGGTAGGGTTTGAAAGGCAAAGGAGCAGTGGGTTCCAATGTTTCGTTCCTGCAGCACTGACTAAAAAAACCACCCCTGTTTCAACTTTATTTTTTCTTGAGCGGATTGAACCCCAAAGACTTCCTTTTCACGTTTGTGTTCTGTTCCCAGTCGCTGAATCTTTCCAGTAAAACATACACATTTTTCAGTGTTGTTGGTGCGTGACTAAGTCATTATGTGTACAGTATAGATATATGTGACACATGTTGTACATGTGAAGTATGTGAATGGTACGAATGATTCATGTAGGTCAGCAATGCAAGTTGACAGGTGGAAACTGTTCACAATAATCACATATGAAAACAGGACAGACAAAAAGAAATGGCAGCCTTTGTCCCTCAGGAAGAACTGCCTCCCCACCGACTCTTTCAGCCACCCCACTTGCAAGTATGGAAGTGTGTACTTGAATGTTCCAGCCTATTCCCTGACATGCTACTTTTCTACATGCAGAGAACTTGTGTGAGAATTCAAATGTGCCCACACCAGCCTGAATTAGGAGAGTACTCCTTTTCTGCCAGCTTGGAAAGGGGAGGAGTTCAGGAAGTGACATCAAAGCCCCTCCCACAGCAGTTTATAAAAGCCCTGGCAGGTCAGTGGCCAGAAGGCATTTGGGCTAAGCGAGCCATGCAGCTATAGGGGTGGGAAGCAGATGTTCCCATAGCAGTCACATCTCTCTTATGGTGCTTTGTCACTTAGCAGCTCTGATTGGGTATCTCTGGTTCTCTTGACAGATTTTAACTACGGCACGGAGGATTATGACGCAGAGGGCAACGAGGAGCCCAGAGTGCTGCCCGGCGGCTCGGAGACCATGCCGTACATTGATGAATCGCCCACCATGTCGCCCCAGCTCAGCGCCCGTGGTCAAGAAGGTGGCGGCGACGGCAACAGTAGCATTTCTCCCTCAGCTCCTGACGAGCCCGACGTAGCGGTGAGTGGTGGCAGATACCTGCCGGGTCTTGGGCTTCTGAAAAGAGTGTTTAACGTTTCCGTTGTCCATCAAAGTGATTATTTAGCATTTTCAGTACGGTTGCTACACCCCTGTGAGGTAGGCCAGGGTTATTGCCTACATAGCTTTAGTACAGCAGATATTTTATGAACTAAGCAGTGTGTTTTACTGTGGGAGGAAACCGATATTGGGGAGCCACAGAACATTTTTATCCTTGAAATTTGAGGATGAGAAACTGGAGAGCTTAGCAAAAAGCAATCCATGGGAGTGTCGCTTGCCCTGTTTCTTGATCGTGTGTCCATGTGTGGTGTCATTGGGGGGATTGGGAAAATGAATAATGTCCCTCCTCCAAACGGGGGCCTGAGCCGGTGGCTCCATCTAGTGGCCAGGATGTGTGATCACAACTGCTTTGTGGCAGAGGGAGACACCCTGCTCTTCCTCTGATTTAAAATTGGATAAAGATTCACGCTCATGTAGCACCTTTCACATGCTCCGTTGCCTGTGTCCTAACAGCCTTGCGAGGTAGGCCAGTTTGAGGCAATTTGCACAGATAACTGTTTGCCTGTAGGAGAACAAAAACTGCTTCTGTATCAAGCGTGCCCTGACCTGGATAGCCCAGGCTAGCTGAATCTTGTCAGAATTTGGAAGCTAAGCAGTGTCAGTCCTGGCTAGTATTGGGATGGGAGACCACCAAGGAAGTCCAGGGTTGTGATGCGGAGGCAGGCAATAGCAAACCACTGCTGAACATGCAGCAAACCTTTATTCATCTAGTTCAGGGGTGTCAAACTCATTTGTTATGAGGGCCAGATCTGACATAAATGAGACCTTGTTGGGCCGGGCCATGCGTATCATAAAATGTAATGCCAGGTAGCGGAGGTATAAACTTTATAAAGGACACAAACACAAAGGGTTTTTTTTAACTTAAAATGAAAACATACTTAAAACATTAGCACTCTTGCAATATTTTGTTTATTTAACAGTGTCAACTGACACCTCTTGCTCTGAATTATTGCATCAAAATGTCTGTGCTGTTGCAGTCTTCAGTGTGCTGTTCAGGTGTGTATCTGTAAGCTGCAAACCTACAATGAAGCAGCAGCAGCAGCAGAACTGGAAGAAGCAGCAGAAGACAGCCAGTTCCACTGTGGGCCTGATAGTAACCCTCCGGGGGCCTGATCCGGCCCCCAGGCCGCATGTTTTGACACCACTAGTCTACTTCTTCCTTTTATCTGCTCAGAATTTTTTTTTTCTGTTTTAGCTCCCCCAACATAGAGATGTTATCCATGATGGCTAAAGGGAACCTCCGTGCTCAGAGGCAATATACCACTAAATGCCTGTTGCTAGGAGGCAGTTGGGGAAGCTTTGTCCTCTGTGCGTTTGCTGCGGGCCTTCTGGGGCATCTAGTAGACAGAGTGGGAAATGTGGTGCAGGATATGGTGGACCTTGGGCCCAATCCTGCAAGGCTGTTGTGAAGATACTGGGATGATGCATGCTAGGGTCTTGCTACTTCTAAATAAATAGGATTCAGTTGTGACAGGCTCAAAGGAGTCACCCTGGGAAGGGGCTCCCTACTGCATCTAAGAGCCTTTTCCCCGACTTCCAAAGGCTAGCTAGGAATCGCAGAAGCCGTTTCATTTCCCTGGCCTTTCCTGCAATGCTGTTGCAACAGAACTGATCACAAAGTCTGTTGTCTACTGCAGCACTCTTTTCTTGTTCTTTCCATGGTTGTGCGTTCAAGGCTCTGTTACAGTTTTGTGCATTTTAATGTGAGCGTTGCAACCCCATTCCCTGCAAATCTTGGGCTTGGTCTCTTCCTTCCCCAGTTCTGTCTGCCGTGCATGCCCCTGTTCCCAGCCACTTTTTGAGAACCGGAGCCCAAATGTTCTCTTTCTTGGCTAATTTCTCTTAGATTCAACATAAGCAAGCTTCAGGGTTATGCAGACCTCATCTAGAGGTAGAACGAAGTTTGAGCCTTTAAGACTGACAAAGTTTTATTCAAAGTTTAAGCTTTCGTGTGCAAGCACACTTTTTGTCAGACAAAGTGTGCTTGCACACAAAAGCTTATACCCAGAATTAAACTTTGTTGGTCTTTTTGTTGTTGTTGTTGTAAAACAGTTTTATTTTAAAGTCAAAACAGACGTAACATAAAATGAGGGTATCCAAATATTCATAAGGTATCTTATTTTAAAAAGCCCTCTTATCTAAACATTTATTTTGTATGATTCACCTTATATCATTATATAAACTTGTTGCACATTATTAAAGGTATAGTATTTGTGTCCTTAGGAGCTGTGGTGGCTCAAGTGGTTAAGATGCTGAACTGCAGGCTGTGGAAGGTCAGTAGTTCAGCAGTTCAAGACCCGGGTGCTGCATGATGGAGTGAGCTCCCATCTCTAGTTCCAGCTCCTGCCAACCTAGCAGTTCGAAAGCAAGAAATTGCAAGTAGATAAATAGGGACCACTTCGGTGGGAAGGTAACAGCGTTCCGTGCGCCTTGGTGTTTAGTCATGCCAGTCACATGACCACGGAAACGTCTTCAGACAGCGCTGGCTCTTCGGCTTTGAACGGAGATGAGCATCGCAAACCTAGAGTCGGATTTGACTGGCTTTCGAGCAAGGGAACCTTTACTTTTACTTATTTGTGTCCTTAAAGTACATTCTAAGTCTATATTTTATTTACTAGATTCCTGAAACCATTTATAAAATCTTGACCATGTTTCCTCTAAAGTTGTCTCTGGTTTTCCTTTCAAAATTAAAGTTAATTTGTCCATCTCAGCAGTTTCCAAAATTTTTCTTAGAATTTCTTCCCTCGAGGGTACTTCTTTTCTTCTCCAATATTTGGCATATATTATTCTCGCTGTTGTTATAACATGTATTATAAGGTAAGAATCATGTTTTTTACAATTTTCTGGTAGGATATTCAATAAAAAAATATTTCTGGAGCAAAAGGTATAGAGGTTTTAACATTTTTTGGTAATATTTCATTAATCCAAAACCAGTACTTCTTCACTGTATCACATAACCACCACATGTGGTAAAAAGACCCAACATTTTTTTTGACATTTCCAACACACATTTGATACATTCGTTTCTAATGTATTCTTACTTTAAACTTTGTTGGTCTTAAAGGTGCCACTGGACTCCAATTTTGTTCTGCTGCTTCGGACCAACACGGTCTCCCCACCTGAATCTCATCTAGAAGTGTCTTCTTGGTACCTTCTCCCCACTCCCCACCAGGTGGCATCAGTGTGGTAACATGCCTTCAAATGCTGCCTCAAAAAATAAGTTTCGTTCCCCTATGACCACTAGGAGGGGAAGCCCAGCAAGCATTTCAGGCGTTGGTGATCGGTTAATCCATTACGGATTTCGTGGCTGCCATCCAATGTTCCCTCTGAGCTCTGGAGTCCTGTGAGCAAAAATTCCACTTTGCGAGCTACTGGCATGAAAGTTGCGAGCAAATGATTTGGCTGCTGCAAAAATCAGTTTGCTCTGGAGCCATCCTTCCTGAGCTAAGGCAAAACTGTGTGAGCCAGAAGCTAAGAAACTGTGAGCTGGCTCACACGAACTCAGCTTAGAGGGAACACTGCTGCCGCCTTGTTCACTTTCATTTGCGTGTTCTTTCTTAGTAGGGGCTGGAATGGGAGCTCTCAGTTCCCCAGCTCTGCAGTCGTCAAGGGCTCACCTAGCTCCAGGTAGCTTCTTCCAGTTCCAGCAGTGCCCCTAAAGAGGAAGGACGGACTGACTGGCTGTCAGCTGGGCACAACTGCTAATGAACACCAGCTCTGGTGATGGATTTCAAGAGTTGCTTTGTTTTGATTTCTGGGTTTTCTAAATTAAACCGCTAAACCATTTCTGCTTCATTTTGCAACTGTGGGCAAAATACCTGGTGTTCCTAGAGAAAAAGCCAAAGAGGGAATTCAGTGAATTCCCCCCCAGATATATGTCTCCTCGCCTCTGTGTGTGTGTTAAGTGCCGTCAAATCGCTTCCGACTTATGGCGGCCCCGTGAATGAATGCTCTCCGAAATTTCCTATCATTAACGGCCTTGCGCGGGTCTTGTAAACTGAGAGCCAGTTTGGTGTAGTGGTTAAGTGCACGGACTCTAATCTGGGAGAACCGGGTTTGATTCCCCACTCCTCCACTTGCACCTGGCTGCATGACCTTGGGCAAGCCATAGTTCTGGCACAGCTGTTCTTGAAAAAGAGCAGTTTCTGTCAGAGCTCTCTCAGCCCCACCTACCTGCTCTTTGTTGTGGGGAGGGGGAAGGAAAGGAGTTTGTAAGCCGCTCTGAGACTCCTTTGGGTAGTGAAGGGCGGGGTATAAATCCAATCTCCTCCTCCTCCTCCTCCTCCTCCTCCTCCTCCTCTTCTTCTTTGATTGAATCAATCCATCTCCTGTTGGGTCTTCCTCTTTTCCTTCTGCCTTCAGCTTTTCCTAGCATTATCGTCTTTTCCAGTGAGTCTTGTCTTTGCATAATGTGACCCAAGTACGATAACCTCAGTTTAGTTATTTTAGCTTCTAGGGGGCGGGCAGGCTTGATTTGATCTAGTGCCCTCTGATTTGTCTTTCGGGCAGCCCACAGTATCTGTAAAAACCCTCCTCCATCGACACATTTCAAAGGAATCGACTTTTTTCCCTGCCAGCTTTCTTCGTTGTCCAGCGTTCACACCTATACATATTAATGGGGGATCCTGTGGTATTGATTTCTCTCGATCTTGGTTGCCAGCTCTTTCATGGCTGCCCTTCCCAGTCTGTCTCCTTTTGAATAATTTCAGTTTCTTCATCGTTAGCCTCTTGAAGTTGCGTAAATTCCCCAGTAGTCAGTACTTTCGTCATCTTGATCCTGCTTTGGCGCTTTCTGCTTTAACCCTCATCTTTAGGTGTTTCAAGTCTTTACTGTTTTCTGCCGGTAATGTGGTGTTATCTGCATAATCTCAAATTGTTAATGTTCCTTCCATCAATTTTCACTCTGCCTTCGTCTTCGTCTA